CCTTCCCAGCCCCTATAGAAATTTCTTGTGTGACTGTGTCTGTGTCTGTGTGCCTACCAGTACTAGGGCTTGAACTGGGGGCCTCAAACTCTCACTTAACTTTTTCACTCAAGGCTGGTGCTCTGACACTTGAGCCACACCTCCACTTCTGGCCTTTTGCTGGCTAATTAGAGATAAGAGTTTCACAGACTTTTCAGCCTGGAGCTGGCTCCAAACTGCGACCTTCAGATTTTAGCCTTCTGAATAACTAGGACTACAAGTGTGAGCCACTGGAGCTCGTTTGCTTATTGGATTATGTGCAACACCCTTTTAAACCACCTTTAAACTAAGTTATAACAGGAAGTAATGAACTTGTGTTTAGCATACGACAATATGTCACACTTGGAAATGAAGTGGGTTTAGCAAGATCTTCCCACACGTTGCTTTGAGAGTGTCAGGCATTTGGCGCAATGAGAAGAGCATTATCTCCAGTGGACCAAGGGCACTGTAGTGTGATTCACCTTAGTCATCCTGAGCTAAAATTACTGCATGTGGGCTTTCTCAGGCAGTTGTTCCCACCCACATGCTTAGCCCTGCCTTTGCAAGGATGACTGTTGATCCTTCCTCATACCCTCCGTTGGACTATTTCTGTACCTAGTTCTGTGTATTTTCTGTGGCTGGTTTCTGCGGTGTTTTCCATTCTTTTAAGTATTGAAAGATGGACCGTGGCTCTAAGTTTTTAGCAACTAACACTGCTTTTTAGCACTCAGCTGATCTTCGATGAAGAATTTCATAGGTTACAGTCTCGGAAAGCCTGATAGGAATGTCTGTTGGGTTCTTGTTATGAAAGGGATGAGTTCAGTTCTCAAAGCGTGAGGCTATTATGCATTCAAAGCATATGCATCATTGTTGAAGAAGTATGTATTGCCGGGCACTGGTGGCTCCCATTTGTAATCCCAGCTACTGGGGAGCCTGAGATCTGAGGACTGAGATTTGAAGCTCTATGAGGCAGGAATGTCTGTGAGACTCTTATCTCAAATTAATCAACAAAAATGACAGAAGTGGAGCAGTGACTTTAGTGGTAGAGTGCTAGCCTTGAGCAAAAGGAAGCTCAGAGACAGTAAACAGGCCTGAGTTCAAGCCCTAGGACTGGCACAACAAAAGTATGTATTAAATTCATTTTAGCAGATAGACTTCACAGTGCTGGACACATGATAGTGAGTAATTATACAAACCCTTCTTTCATGCCTCATTCTACAAGCTTGTGAGGCATGAGTGAGTATCATTGCCACATTTTGTCCTTAGGTTCCTTAACTTGAATTCACTTCAGTGTTCCATCAACACAGCTGGGGGCTTGGGTACTATCCCTTTGCTTTTCTACTCAAGGCTCGTGTTTGCAAGGCACCAGCAACTCACACTTGGAATCCCAGCTACTCAGGAGCCTGAGATCTGAGTATTATGATTTGAAGCCAGCCTGGGCAGAAAAGTCCATGAGACACTTCCCTCTAATTAATCAGCAAATGGCCAGAAGTAGAGCAACAAGTAGATCAAGCTCTGAGTTCAAGCCCCAGTACGGACATACACACACATATACAAAAGTACTTCCCTTTCGGATGAATACTTAATGTGTAAGAGAAATAAAGAAAGCGAGAGTGAAGACAGGCCGAGGGGGGATCGTGCATCCTCAAGGGGTTGTTGTGGATGCACACAATACCGGTAGCTTGTTGTAGCTCTGAGAATAGGCCTTGCAGGAAATGGCCTCCCAGAATTCTCTTTGGTTACCACTCCCCCTAGTGAATAAACAGTGTTGAGGGAAGGATATAATTGTAGCTTGTGCTGGAGGAAAGTAGATGTTTCTGAATCAGTGCCAAGGCAGTCTTCCATTAGCAGGAGAAGGGAGGCTTCCAGTGATAACCTCTGGGCTCCCTGGAGAGTGGGGGTGGGGGTGGGCTTTGCCAATGCAAAATCCTCACTTTCAAAGGTTGTAATCACAGTCTTTGAGATGAGAATAAAGTGATTCTCTCCCTGTCTTTATTATATAATAGTCTTGGCTCTGCATCTGTGACATCTACCCTATTTGCATTTGAATCCATGTGGGCTTTGTTTTTTTTTATTTTTTTTCAATTTGGGTGCCAAATTTTGGGGGGGCTTGGTATTTGGCAACATTTGGAATGTGGGTGACCCACTTGCTGTCTGTCTCAGTGAGAGAAAGATGGGAGAGGGAGTCTCAGAGCTTGTGCATGAATAGCTGTTCCCACATCAGTTGTGTCTGTAGAATCCTGTTGACTTCCCTGCCTTCCCGTTCATCCCTTTCGGTAAGGGCAATGTCACAGAAGGGGAGGTGTGACTAATCGGATAAAAACTGGAGAGAGGGAAGTATAAAGTAACAATGATTCATTTTTCAGTACAAGAACTATATAAGTAGTCATGACAGTCATTTCCCTTTTAGGGAAATCACATGGCACCTGAGATGTTAGAGAGGAATTTAGTGGTGGTCTATTTTCAAGACCAGGTATTTGGTTCAGAGTGGGAAATTCCCAGTAGCTTGCTTACCTAGCAACTTGCAGATGTGACGAAGTTGAGGCATTGGATGATGTAGAGAGAAAGAGGAAAGTAAGACTTATTCTTCACTTACACAAGAAAAGAAAAAGTCAAGAATTTGGGGAAAAGAGTCAGATTATAGGCTCACGCCTGTAATCCTAGCTGCTCAGGAGGTTGAAAACTGAGTATCGTGGTTCAAAGCCAGTCCAAGCAGGAAAGTCCATAAGACACTTATCTCCAATAAACTATTCAGAAAAGGCCAGAAGTGGAGCTGTGGCTCAAGTGGTAGAATGCTAGCCTTGAGCCTCAGGACAGCACTCTGGCTCTGAGTTCAAGTCCCCCAGGACTGGCACCAAAAAAAAAAAGAATTTTGAGAAAAGATAATATAGCGACATCTGATGGAAACTGTGCCTTCATGATGGATGAGCTGCCTGAGCATCAGGCACTCATAGACCTGGTTTTGGGTTTTGGTTTATGGTGCCAGCTCGAACTCAAGGCCTTGCTTGGCTTTTTCTCCTTCAAGGCTGGTACTCTACCACTTGAGCCACACACCCCACTTCTGGCTATTTGCTGGCTAAATATAGATAAGAGTCTCATAGGCTTTTCTTGCCCATGCTGACTTTCAACTGGGATCTTCAAATCTCAGCCTCTTGAGTACCCAGGATTACAGGTGTGAGCCACTGGCACCTGGCTTGTTTGTTTGTTTTTTTTTAAAATCTAGACAAATGGAGAGAGGAAGGGCGATAGTCATTATATTCAGTGTATATAAGTGAAAATGAAACTTGACACTGTGAGTGAGGTTGGGAAAGACTAGGGAGAGCAATGGAAGAGGTGGCATTAATCAAGATGCGTTGTACTTATAAACTGACATGATGAACTGAAACCAACCCCTTTGTACCACTGCTTAATTTTCAAAACAGAATTGAAAAATGTAGCCAGGCACTGGTGGCTCACGTCTGTTATCCTAACTACTCAAGAGGCTGAGATCTGAGGATCAGGGTTCAAAGCTAACTTGGGCAGGAAAGTCCTAAGGCTCTTATCTCCAATGAACCACTGGAAAACCAGAAGTGAGGCTATGGCTCAAGTGATAGAGAGCTAGCCTTAAGCTGAAGAGCTCAGAGACTGTGTCCAGGCCCAGAGTTCAAGCCCCATGACTGACAACAACAACAGAACATTTAGATTTGGGAAACCAAGACAAGGATACACACATTTTTTTCCAGACCTGGGTCATCAGGGAGAATATACAGACATTTATTTCTGCTTGGTATGTGTGTGTATCTTAGAGTCTGTCTCGACTGAGTCCCATGTCTCTCTGCACTTGGGTTTATCAGATGTTGTAAGCGTTGCATTCTGGGATAATCTGGGTCTCTCCACCATCAGCCCCTCCCCTCTGGGAGCATCAAATTCCTGCCCAACCTTTGGAGCTTCACTCTCTGGCCATTCGACAGGGAACTTGAGCTGTTTAATAGAGCTAAAGTGATTTTAAAAAGAATCTCCTGGGAGATGACATGTATGCCTTTTAGCTCTGCATGCATCTCAAGTGACTGCTCTATCCTAGTAGTTATTGATTCATACCAGGCAGGCAGCAAGCTCAGAGTGGATGTGGCTGGGAGGAGAGGAGAGGTAGCTGGAGGATCAATACATGTAGGCTGATCTGTACCGTGGAACAGGCCCAGTAAGAAGGTGAGATCATGTCTGCCTAGGACCCTGCATCCTTGGACAATATTAAAATGGGTTTTGTGGTTAGGTATTATGTTAGTCAGCTTTCTGTCACTGGATAAACTATGTGTCATAAACAACGTTGAAGACGTTCAAGCAAGCCCCGTGGCTCATGCCTTTTATCTTAGCTACTCAAGAAGGTTGAGAACTGAAGATCACGGTTCAAAGCCAGCCCAGGCAGAAAAATCTGTGAGAGTCTTATCTCCAGTGAGCCACCAAAAAAACTGGAAGTAGAGAACTCCAGCTTTGAGAGGAAAAGCTAAGAGGGAACACAAGGTACCAAGCTCAAGGCTCAGGCCTGGGGTGCACACATACGTGTGCACACACACACACTCATATACCCACACAATGGTTACTTACACCCTACTCATATAAAACTCAATATCCTTAGCCCACCCCACAAGGCTCTGCATGGTCTGTTCCTCTAACAGACCAGCATCTTCCTCACTCCGAATCCTTATTATTCCTTCCCCATAGAATACCTTCTTACTCCTATTTCCATCCGATTTCTGCCCTCCTCACGGAGGTTTAAATGTACCTTTTCCCAAATCCTTGTTAAATTCCTCTGTACTTTCCTTCATTTACTACACTAGTAATTAATCCTGCTGTAGGTATTTGCTCAAGGGTTGGCTGTCTATGTAGGGAGCGATTTATAAGGGAGTATTTGGGAAGAAGCAAATGACAGTAAGTGTCTTCTCTCCCAGGGACAGGAGCCTTGGGGAATGGAATCTTGTTAATTAATGATGTGTTTCTCTCCACAGAGAGTATTTTGCAGAGGATGCGGGGGAGATGGTACCCAGAATGTGTAATGCTGCAGGTGAGCAGGCCAAGCATTGTTGGAATCTCGGCTTCCTGCCAGGGGCTGGCTTCCCCTTGCCTTTTGGGTTATGGTGGCAGTCTTTTTAAACATTTGTGAATTTCCAAATTTGCACATACTCATAATGTAGTATATAATTCTCCACGTGGAATTCCCCAGTGGGGGAATTATATGCCACCGATAATTACATGTGTTAGGAGGTAGTACAGAGTCATAAATCCTAACTGAGATTCTCCTGTGAATGCTTCACACCCTACTGAGACTATGATGGCAAGATTAAAGGCAAAGGTAAAAAGATTCCAATAAATCCTGCTGCTAAAGTGAACTCTATAGCCTAATATTGAAATGGATTATTCAAGTGGATTTCATGATCCTATCTGTGTGCCTCACTATTGCAGTGATTCTGTGAGTTTAAGAATTCATATGACATTGCTTTGTAACCATTAATACCCTATCAAGAAATTGGTGGCTGCGATTGTTCTTTTTCCTGAAAAAAAAAATCCTGTGTTGGGAGATTTGTGGAAACACTTCTTAGTTCTAAGAAGCTTCATTGTTATTATTCTGAAGGCTATTTTGGCCATTTATTTGTCATGTAACAAACCATCCTAGAATTTAATGGCTTAGTAAAGGGGTTAGAGACTGGGGATCTGTGATGCAAGCTTCTAATCCTAGCCACCATTGCTCTACTTCTGGTTTTAAAAACAAACAAAAAAACACTGATTAATTGGAGGTAAGAGTCTCATGGACTTTCCTGCCCAAGCTGGGTTCTCAATGTGATCCTCAGCTCTCAACCTCCCTTGTAGCTAGGATTACAAGTGTGAGCCACTAGCATCTGGCTTGGAAACTGTTATTAATATGATCAAATTTTCTTCAATGGCCTGAAATGGCTTTGTACTTTGCAAAAGCCAAATTATTTTGGAAAAAATAATTGTCCTGCCGGTTATAAGGATCACAGTGCCTTCATTCCACAGACATTTGTTCTCCTGGTTATATTTCAGCCTTTCTCAGCGACACCAAAGATCGAGGGCCTTCAGGGCAGCCACAGATCTGGAGAAATGGGGAGAAGGTGGGCTTTGCGCAGGCGCACACCTTGAGAGCGTTTGAGAAGCTCCCACAAGTGCAGACCCAGGCTCTGAGAGACTTTGAGAAGGTAAGACACATGGCTAGAGAACTGCAGTCATCTCAACTAGAAGCAGCGATGCCCTATGAAATGATAACCTATAGACTGTCTGGATCATGGGCATGGCTACCACAACAGTGTTTCCTTCAGTGGTATATGTCTAGGAGCAGGTGCTCTATTAGCCAGAGGCTGTGAGCCGTGGTTTGTAGGGGAGGGGGCAGCGCGTGGGGTGGAGGCCATCTTACTGTCAGACTCACTTCTCAGATAAACTTGGGAAGGCTAAATGGCATGGCATCCTGAGTGTCAGCCCAGTCAGCCAACATCATATTCCCTGTTGCTACTACAGACACCTGGGTACCGTCTACTGTATCCAGAATCATTCATTTTCTGGGTGATGGTGGCTCACCTACCTACTCCTATCTACTCAGGAAGCTGAGATCTGAGGATCTTGGTTTGAAGCCAGCCAGCCCAGCTAGACAGATCCTAGAGACTCTTAGCTCTACTTACAAGGAAAAGTCCAGTAATAGAGGTATGGCTCAAACCTTGAGCAGAAAATACAAACAAGAGTGTGAGGTCCTGAGTTCAAGTTTCAGGAGCTGGCACCAAAAAAAGGAAGAAAAAAAGAAAGAGAGAGAGGAAGGAAGGAAGGAAGGAAGGAAGGAAGGAAGGAAGGAAGGAAGAACAAAGTTGCTGGGTCCTTAGATTTGGCCAAGAGCAGTAACTGATTGATAGTGGCCGATAGACCCCCCAGCTCCCTAGGAGTCAGGTGACCCCAGGAAGTCTGCACCACAGAACTTGTCTGCTGGGATTTCAATGGCCCAGAAAGAAGCCAGACTTTCTAACACTCTTGTTCTATAAAAAGAAACAGCTTTTTGGTGCCCCCTGGGGGATGGGAATGGACTTCACTTGAGTGTGTTGCAAACAGGTCCTGAGATGAATGGGGTTTCTTTTGTTGTTGTTGTTGTTGTTGTTTTTAATGCCTGTACAGGGGCTTGAACTCAGAGCCTCATGCTCTGCTTAGCATTTTCACTATACTACTTGAGCCACATCCATTTCTGGGATTTTTGGGTGCTTAATTGGAGATAAGACTTTTTAGGGACTTTCCTGCCCCAGGCTGGCTTTGAACCTTGATCTTCAGATCACAACCTCCTGAGTAGCTAGGATTCCAGGTGTGAGCTATCAGTGCTCAGCTTCTTTCACTCTTGAGTTGATTATTTGAGACATAAAATACCGAAATTCCATTTTCAAAAAAATGTGTTGTGTTAAGCCAGGTGCTGGTGGCTACTTAGGAGGCTGAGATCTGAGGCTCAAGGTTCAGAGCCAGTTCAGGCAAGAAAGTTTGTGAGACTCTTATCTCCACTTAGCTACCAGAAAAAATGGAAGTGGCACGTGGTTCAAAGTGGTAGAGTGCTAGCCTTCAGCAAAAATGTTCAGGGATGGTGCCCAGGTCCTGAATTCTAGCCCCATGACAAAAAAAAAAGTGTTGCAGTGGTCTTACCTGTTTTTCTGCAATTGTTCCTACAAATTTCCCAGGTATCATTTAGAAATCTTAATGATTGATGTGTAACAACTGAAAAGCATACTCTCGGTCTTACTGGCTCCAAGTCACAGGGTTTTTTTTGTTTTTTGTTTTTGTTTTTGGCCAGTCCTGGGGCTTGAACTGAGTCCTAGGCACTGTCCCTGAGCTTCTTTTTTTTATTTTTAATATATTTTTATTGTGAAAATACTGTACAGAGGGGTTACAATTACGTGGGTAAGATAATGGGCACATTTCTTATCAAGCATTGCAGCCTCCTGCTTTGTTTCCCCTTCCCATCCCTTCATATCCCCGCCCCCCTGTCCTCCCCCACCAAAGTTGTAAAGTTCATTTTTCGACATAAGGACTTGTACTCCTCCTGTATCCCTGTTTTTACAATTTGTTTTATCCCTTCCCTTCCATATATACCAACATCATATATAGTGAAAACAGGGGTTGTACCATGGGGGAGGGACATACAAGGCAACAAAGACATAATCTTATAAATATGTTAGAAACAATTGCATGAAAGATCTCTCTCTCTCTCTCTCTCTCTGTCAGTCGTGGGGCTTGAGCTCTAGGCCTGGGAGCTGTCCCTGAACAATTCAGCTCAAGGCCTGAGCTTCTTTTACTCAAGGCTAGAACTCTACCACTTGAGCCACAGCGCTACTTCTGGCTTTTTCTGTATATGTGGTACTGAGGAATGGAACCCAGGGCTTCATGCATGCTAGGCAAGGACTCTACTGCTGAGCCACATTCCCTGCCCTGTCACAGATTTTTTTAAAGACAGTTTCAGTACTATATTAAATGAATTGTTAGGTTTTTTGTTTGGTTGGTTGGTTGTTAGTTTACATCTCAATTACTTGTCTTCTGGTTAGTTGAAGCAATAGTGGGAATTATTGACAAGTTGATTGCAAAAAGCTTCTACCACCTGACTTATGTACAGATTTTCTAGAAATATTTTGTGTTTAAAATGAAAATACTAGCAAAGCCAGCTTCCTGCTCTTTAACTACATGAAAGCCAGCTTTCCCTAGCAGACAGAATCTAATCACAGTAAGTCAGCCTTTTAGGTCCCTGTCTAGGTTGGCAACCCTCCCATGGTGGGACTTAAAGTGTATGGGTCAAAAAGGAAGAGAACTAAAATGGGGGAGAGATTTAAACTTATTTTCCTTTCTGGAACTCTGTGATTCTGGGTAATTTGAATCTGGGTCATGTGGCTACTGCCTTTAGGAAAGGCAACTCGGTGTTTTCCCAGTGTTTCTCTATAATTATAGCCTTGGAAAATTAGTGCAACTGGTGAGCTATATTTTCATTATTTTGGAAAGTGGCATTTATACTTCAGCATCTACAGCATTCTAATTTGGGTTTCACCTCTCTTTTTTTCTCTCTCTCTCCCTCTCTCTCTCCCTCTCTCATTCTTCTCTCTTTTTTTCTTTTTCTTTCTTTTTTTTTTCTGTTCCTGAGGTTTGGACTCAGGGCCTGGGCACTGTCTCTGAACCTCTTTGTGCTCAAGGCTAGCACTCTACTACTTGAGGCATAGAACCACTTCTGGCTTTTTCTGAGTAGTTTATTGGAGAGAAGAGTCCCATGGACTTTCCTGCCTAGGCTTCAAACCATGACCCTCAGATCTCTGCTTCCTGCATAGATAGTATGAAAGACATGAGCCACCAGTGCTTGGCTTCACCAATGTCTTAAGACATTCAAAAAGTTGTTCAGTGAAGAGTGGGAAATCCTCCACTTTCAGCACTCATATCAACCCTGATCCCTGGGCTCATCGAGTAATGCCCATCAAAGGAATCACTCAGCAGATGAGTCATAGGTGGACAAACCCCACACCCAGCTGTGTTGATTGGAATGGTCTGGTGGGCATCAAGTTCATTGATTGAAATAGTCTGGTGGGCATCAATCAAGTTCAGGCCCCAGGAGGGCCAGCATCACTGAGACCCATCGGCCACGCTCCACACAGTCCATTTGACTGTCTCTGGCAGCCCTATTTCTGGCTGGACCATCTATTTTGGGTAGCCAGCAAAGTTGTTGTTTGTTTTGTTTTATATAGTCCACAGGGCTCTGTGGTGAAGATGGTGACGATGACATCTTGTTATTCCGGGTGTGGGGAGGATGGGTGTGTATGTGTGGCTGGGAGACGGCACAGACACTGTCCAGAGCTCCATCCTTTAAGCATATGGTCAGCCTCCTGACACAGCACTTGTCACCAACCTTCCCAGCTCTCCTGTCTCCAAGCCAAGTATGCACCGGAGGGCTTCTGAGAATTATACAGAATGTTGAATGGTATTGGTAGCTTAGCAGTTATTTAGTATTATTTTTAATTTTGGGGCTGGCATTGGGGCTTGAACTCAGGGCCTCACACTCTTGTGTGAGCCACACTTCAACTTCTGGCTTTTTATTGGCTAATTGGTTATAAGAGGCTACCTGGGCTGGTATTGAACTCTGAACCTCAGATTTCAGCCTCCTGACTAGCTAGGATTACAGGCATACTCTTTGGAAAGAGGCTGGGAAGCCTGAGATAGCTGGGAAGCAGTATGCTGTTATTGGCCACACTACCCAGCTCTCAGAGGTCATGTGGTCTAGGATGGCAGAATCCCTGGCTCTCAGAGTCTAGGATGGAGGCTCCAATCAGTAAGGAATATGGAGTCCAAAGGTAGAAGTTGTGGTCTGTACACGTCCTCTTTCTAGATCAGCAAGACAGCTAATCTCTTGATGTCCCTCTTTCCTAGCCAGTAAAATGTGGGTAAGAATATCTAAGTTTTGTATTTCCAATGTCATAGTGAAGGTACAAAGAAGAAGTGCACAGAGGAGTGCTATCCATATTCAGGTTCTCTGCAGGTGACTGTTGTGGTAATGGTAATCTCATTGCATCCATTTATTTATAACACATTATTGAAAACAGCCAGGATTAACCCTTGACATTCATGCAACTCAGGTTTTGTCAGGATAGTGTAAAGGTTTCCAGACATATACATGTATTAAGAATAAAATATGGCCAGAAGCCAGTGCCTCAGATTCTCAGGAAGGCTGAGATCTGAGGATCCCATACCACCCCATTTAGATAAATGTACATAACAGGTGTCAGTGTCTCACATCTGTACCTCTAGCTACTCAGGAGGCTGAGCTCTCAGGATTGCCTTTTAAAAGCTAGCCTGAGGAGAAAGTCTGAGAGACTCTTATCTCCAATTGAGCTAGAAGTAGAGCTATGGCTCAAGTGGTAGAAAACTAGCCTTGAGCACAAAAGCTCAAAGACGGTGCCCAGGCCCTGAATTTAAGCCCTAGGACCAATACCAAATAAACAAAAAAAACCCACAAGCCCCTCCTACAAATATGATCATATTTGTAGTTGTTTGTAAATAGATAATGACCAAGTTTTACTTAAACACTACTTCCTGCCCCCACCCCTACCCCCCAGCCTCCCCGCCCAGAGTTGGGAATCAAACTTGGGACCTTGAGCAAACTAGGCAGGCATTCTACCCTGGTACTACATTCCTTGTCCCTCCTCTGTCTGCTATGTTAACTCAGTTAAACATTTTTTTTTTATGTTAAAGGAATGTAAAGATACAGATTGTCAGGGATATCGGGTTACCAGAGTTTAAATCATGGAAGTGTTATTGTGTTTGAAAGAATGTGTCTATTAAGATGATTAATTACTGCTAGTGGAGAGCATCTTTATTTTTAGGAGAGAGCTTGCTAAGAGATTAGAATGTTTTCAAGCAGTTCCATTCTGAGAGCTATCTGGGGGGCATGAACATGGCTAAGCGAATGTGAAGCTGAGAATTTAAGGGCTGCCTTGATGGTTGGTTATGTTAATGCAACATGACAGCCAAATGCAGGACTGTAATCCTCCCATTCTTACTGGCACTGATGAAGCCCTTAGTACCCTCTTCTTTCTAATCTGGATCAGTGTAGTATGGAGGAGGTGGAAGAGAGGAAATCAGTCAAGGAACAAGGGGGAGAGCCATTAATGTTTGAGAGGAAAAAAAGGTTTTGAGAGAAGAGGAAAGATTTAGGGTATGGGAAAAAGGAAGAACAAAGGTAGAAACACCTTCCATTCTGGAAGCCGCCCCAGAGGCCATGGAGACTTATTTCCTAAGCAATTTTATGCAGCTTCTCAAAGCACACAGCTCGGCCCAACCCCACCACCTTTCTCCTCTTCGTATATCCACAGAGAGACAGGATCTAGGACAAGAAGCAAACCAGTATCTCCCAGCATGTATTGTCATGACCACTTCTGCCATATTCCTCTCCCAAGATGGTATGTGCCATCTCCACCCACCTCCTTCCCCTGTGTCTCCCCCCAAACGGAGCCGTCCTCTTCTCCCTGGCACCTTCCCTAATGATGCCCTCCTTCCTGATTTCTGTCATTTTCTCCACATGTAACATTCATTCCGTCCTTTGTCCGTTTCCCTTGGAACTTTTACTAAAGTCCAGGTTCTGCCTAGTGGATGAGCACTAATCAGTTTGTTAGAATAATATATTTTACTTATACAATTTGTAAGTAAATTTGTGATGCTTTGAAATAGATTCTTTCTCCTCAACTATGTCTCAACTTGAATTCAGTGTTATTATAATTAAATCCAATGAGGGCAAAGGAGACAGGAGGTTAATTACTCATCCTTTCTCTTTCTCTCTGTGTGTGTGTGTGAGGCACTAGGGCCTCATGCTTTCACTTGACTTTTGTGCTCAAGGCTGGTGCTCTACCACTTGAACCACTTCCAGCTTTTTGCTGGGGGTAAGCCTCATGTAGACTTTCTTGCCCATAATGGTATTGAACCAAGATCCTCCAGATCTCAGCCTCCTAAGTAGCTTGGATTACAGGTGTGAGCCCAGCGCCTTGCTCCTTTTATTCTAAGAGTGATGACATGCTGGTATTGGGCATTGAACAAGGAAACGGCACAACCTATTTGACTTTTGAGAATATTCCTTTCATGCTCAATGTGGAGGGTGAAGCTGAGTTCCAGCCCTAGTATCACACACACCTATGTATGTATGTATGTTCCAATCCAATATTCCTGAACCAAGAAGCTGGGTGGGAAGTGCTGGACTGCCATGGGGCCTTCTCACAGTTACCTTCCATGCCCCACGTGCTGTGCTATTAATACTACTTCCTGCGAATGTCACAGCTGTCACTCAGGATCTTAAGTTGCTTTCTGAGCAGGATCTGGTGCTGAGTGCCTGACTCCACTTGGCAGGTGCCAGGATTAAGCAGCACCGGGCAGCTAAAATCTCTGGGCTCCAGGATGCCGGCTCCCTCTCTCTGGAATTCCTACTCTTCTCCACCCCTTCTTCTGCCCTGGAGCCTGGAGCCTCCCTTTGTGTGCTCCATCCATAAGACTTGAACCCCATTCCGCTCAGCTAGAAGATTCGCTTTGTGTGTGTGTGTGTGTGTGTGTGTGTGTGTGTGTGCTGGTCTTGGGGCTTGAACTCAGGGCCTGGGTGTTGTCCCTTACCTGAACACTGGCATTTTACCCCTTGGACCTCCACTTCTAGCTTTGGGGTGGTTGATTGTTGCTAAGAGTTTCACAGACTTTCCTCCACAGGCTGGCTTCAAACTGAGATTCCTCAGATCTCAGCTTCCTGAGTAGCTGGGATGACAGGTGTAAGCCATCAGCTCGCAGGAATTCCCTCTTTCTTTGGGGGTGGGGTGGGGGATAGCTGTGGGGTGTCTGTGGCACAGAGGCATGGGTGGGGGTGGAAGTTAGGGGGATGGGAAAGGAGGCAAGCTGGAAAGAATGGACTAGAGAGCCCCGTGACAGGGGTTCCCATCTGCAATCCTAGCTACTCAGGAGGCTGAGATCTGAGGATCGGGAGTTTCAAGCCCACCCTGGGCAGAAAAGTCTGTGGAACACTCTTTCCTGCAATGCAGCATCAAAAAGCTAGAAGTGAAGCTGTTGACTTACGTAGTAGAGCATCAGCCGAAAGCAGAACTAGCTAAGGGTCAGCTCCTAGGCCCTGAGTTCCAGTCTCAGTCCTGGCACAGCATTGGGGGGGGGGGAGGAAATGTGAGCATTTTTTTTCATACTCTGCCACCTTCCTACTTCCAGGAAGGCCTGGGGTTCGCCCTCCCCCCCCCTTTTGCCTACACTTGGGCCTGGGAGGCTGGGGAGGGGGGTGGGGTGGGGGGATGACAGCCGGGGCCTGGCAGGGACTCGGGTTACAGCGCCTGTGTGCGGACTCGGCCAGGGATTCCACGGATGTCTGCCCCGGGTAAAAAAGGAAAGCGCCCGCGCGCTCGCGCGAAGAGCCGATCCGCGCGCAGGGGAGCCGGCCCGGCCCGCCTGCCCTGCCCGGCCATGCGGCCCTAGCCCCGGCCCCGGGGTCCCCGTGCATGGCCCCGCGGGCCCGCGCCGCGCTCGGGCCCCTCCCGGGGGCGCGCCCACCATGTCTAATGGCTACCGCACTCTGTCCCAGCACCTCAACGACCTGAAGAAGGAGAACTTCAGCCTCAAGCTGCGCATCTACTTCCTGGAGGAGCGCATGCAAGGGAAGTACGAGGCCAGCCCCGAGGACGTGTACAAGTCGGTGAGCCACCGCCCACCGTCCTGGACCTGGGCGCCTGGGCGGTGACGGGGGGGGGGTGTGGGGTGGTGCTGGGGAGGAGGCCGGGGACTGGGGAGCGGGAAGGGGGGCGGGGAGTCGGGGGGCCGGGGGTCTGGGGGTCTGAGCCCAGATCCAGTCCTCATCTGCCGCCCTTACTGCCCTGTGACCTTGGGCGAACCGGGTCACCTCTGTCTGTTTCCCCCCTTCTGCTTCTCTGTGAAGGAGGCTTGAATTAGACCAGAGCTGCCCCAGCGGTGAACCCTGCAATATCACACTTTGAGGGCTGATTAAAAAAAAAATGTCCAGGGCACAGCTTCACCCCCCAGGCTTCTGATCTAGTGATGGAGGAGGTGGGCTGGTGCACGTGGACCTGACACAAGCGAGGTGAAGTGATTGATAGGTAACTTAACAGATCAGGTGATTGACAGGCGGCTTCTACAGGTGATTGGTTGACAGGTGACTTCCACAGGTGATTGATTGACAGGTGGCATCCACAGGTGATTGATTGGCAAGTGGCATCCACAGGTCGCCATTCCAGCCCTGGATGTCTGGATGTCTGGATGAGGTGGCTGAAGATAATTCCTGTGGGGAAATCTGATTCCATTTTTGGGGCTGGGTTCATTGTCTGGAGCCTACAAAGAATGTCAGGAAAGATCCCAAGAAGATTGGGTTAGATGCAGAGGATTGAGCAAGGAGCCCCTGATTGGAGAGAGCAAAGAAACAGAAGATAAAGAATTGTAAGGGAGGAAAAGTGGGAGTAGGGGCGAAGGGTATTTGAAAGTGAGCGCAAGATGCCAGGGGAAACTGTGGGAATGCTCTCAGCTATTGGAAGGTTGGGATAAGCCTCCAGCCCAGACTCCCCTCTGGGAAGGCTGCCTTATGCCCTATGAGATCTTGTCTGCCTGCTTCCTAGGTGAAGAGGAGGAGGAGGAGGGGAGGAGGAGGTGGTAGGGGTGAGACGTGAGGCCTGGAAATGGGCTCCTGGAGTCCTTCCAGAGTCTGCTGCCCTGGTGTCTGGCCAGGTTACTGCCCACCTCCCCCAAGGGGAGGGGCTTGTCCCCTGCAGGGTCTGCTACAGAGCCATCAATTTGCTTTCTCCTCTGTACTTGCCCAGGGCGGGGCCCTGGCACCACCAGGCAGGTCTCCACTTTCCCAAGGTCGTTTGGAAGAGGAGGGTGTGCAGGCTTCATGGGATTGGGTGGTCTGTCTCCACAGTCCCCCAGGGGCCCCCAGGAAGAGGAGGAGTGTCACCTCCACCCCGTCATGCTATGCGCCTACACAGTGCTGCATCAGATTTGTGTTTGTTTTTGAAGAGTTAAGCAGAGCAGTTTTGGGGGCCAGACTAATCTGAGCCAGTGTTGCTGATGGCAAATGGCTTGGTGGGTATGAGGTAGTGCCTTGATGGAGAACCTGCAGTCCTCTCTGGGTTCCAGGGTCAGGCTTCCTAAAGTGAGGCTTCTTCAGGCCTCTTGCTTTTTGGGCAAAAGCATCCACATTGGCCTAACAGCCTGGGCGACTCTCCCTTATCAGAGGCTTTGAATTCCCAGCTGTTTATGCCAGGGAACTGCACAGGCGCAGTGGCTTTGTATGTGTGCCCAGGGAGCCCTGGCTATAGCCACATTACATCTTTGAAGGAGCAAAGAACAGCTGAGGACCCTAAGGCCTAGATGATCATGGCATAACCAGATAACACAGCATGCTCAGTCTGGGGGACCAAACCTTGCTGATTTTCCTGAATATGTTAATATGAATTTTTCTGATTGGCCAAGGCTTACCTTGTGTGTGTGTGTGTGTGTGTGTTAGTACTGAGGCTTGAATTCAGGACTGGGTTGCTCACCCTTAGCTTTGTCGTTCAAAACTGGCACTTTATCACTTGAGCCACACCATTTCTGGCTTTTTTTTGCTGATTATTTGGAGACCATAGTCTTTCTGTCTTTCCTTCCTTCCTTTCTTCCTTCCTTTCTTCCTTCTTTCCTTCCTTCTTCTTTCTTTCTCTTTTTCTTTCTTTCTCTTTCTTTCTCTCTCTCTCTCTCTTTCTTTCTGTTTTTCTGTTTTTTGTCTAGAGTAGCTTTGAACCGTGATCCTTAGATCTCAGCCTCCTGAGTAGCTGGGATTACAGGTGTGAGCCCCTGGCTCCCAGCAACGAGGCTTACCTTTCATCTTTCAGTGGCTGTGGGCACAGATGACCCTTCTTGGAGCTGCCCAAGGCCTGGCAACTCAGAGAGGTAGAGAAAGGATGAGAAGAAGACTGGCACTATTGGCCTGAGGGTAGAAATAGTGAGGGATTTATTCTTCATCCAGAGGGAGATTTTCCCATGAACGGTGTCCAACGCAAGGAAAAGGATTCTTTTTTAGCTTGAATCATTTGGTTCCCTCATCCTGGTCTGTACTGGCTGGCCAGTCTTTGGGAAGTGAAGCTAGCATGGAGGGGGCACCATTTTTCACCCAGGAAGATGATAGGAGCAGGTCTAGGGCAGGGGAGTGAATTTCCATTGTCTCATGTAGAGGTGATGAGCACTGTGCACAACTCCAGTCTCGAATCTAGGTCGCATGCTGGAGGTGGTTTGGGCCCTATTTCCACCCAGTCCCTATAATCCTAGCTACTCAGGAGGCTGAGATCTGAGGATAGAGGTTCAAAGCCAGCCCTGGGCAGAAAAGACCATGAGACTGTCATCTCTAATATAGCAAAAAGCCAGAAGTAGAGGTGTGACTCAAGGGATAGTATGTCAGTTATGAGCAATCAAGTCCAGTGAGTTCAACCCAGGCTCTGAGTTCAAGCCTTGGTACTGGGACAGGGGAAAGCTTTGCTGCAGGCAATGAAAATTATTTGTTGTGTGAATAATAAACATGAAGACAACATGAATTGCACCATAACACTTTGTAAATTAATAGCAGAATACTCAGATGTAAATTTAATTGTTTCATATTTCTGAGAGAATAGTTATATTCTGATTAGTGGCTAGTGATCTTTTTTTTTTTTTTTTGTCGGTCGTGGGGCTTGAACTCTGGGCCTGGGCGCTGTCCCTTAGCTCTTCAGCTCAAGGCGAGCGCTCTACCACTTGAGCTACAGCGCCACTTCCGGTATTCTGGTGGTTTATTGGAGATAGGAGTCTCATAGTCTCTCCTGCCCAGGCTGGCTTTGAACCGCGATCCTCAGATCTCAGCCCCCTGAGTAGCTAGGATTACAGGCGTGAGCCACCAGTGCCTGGCTGTGGCTAGTGATCTTTAAAAATAGAGGTTTGAGCTAGGTGCCAGTGGCTCATACCATAATCCTAGCTACTCAGGAGGCTAAGATTTGAGGATCATGGTTCAAAGCCAGCCTAGGCAGGAAAAGTCCAAGAGACTTTTTTTTTTTTTTGGGTCCGGTCGTGGGGCCTGAACTCTGGGCCTGAGCGCTGTCCCTCAGCTCTTCAGCTCAAGGCTAGCGCTCTACCACTTGAGCCACAGCGCCACTTCCGGCTTTTTTCTGTTTGCTTATGTGGTGCTGAGGAATCGGACCCAGGGCCTCGAGCATGCAAGGCAAGCGCTCTACCACTGAGCCACCTTCCCAGCCCCCCAAGAGACTTTTATCTCCAATTAATCACAAAAAGCCAAAGGTAGAGCTGTCATTCAAGTGGTAAAGCTCTAGCTCTGAGCACAAAAGCTTAGGGATGGTGCCCAGGCCCTGAGTTCAGGCCATAGAACTGGTAACACACACACACACACACAAATATGGCTGGGAAGGTGGCTCAGTGGTAGAGCGCTTGCCTTGCATAAATGAGGCCCTGGGTTCAATTCCTCAGCACCACATAAGCAAAAAAAAAAAAAAAAAGCCAGAAGTGGCACTGTGGCTCAAGTGGTAGAGTACTAGCCTTGAGCTGAAGAGCTAAGGGACAGTGCCTAGGCCCAGAGTTCAGGCTCCACAACAGAATAAATAAATGAATGAATGAATGAATAAATAAATAAAATTAAAAAAATAAAAATAGAGGTTTGATTATAATCTTACTGTTACTCCTACAATCAATCCTCCTTCCTTCCTTCGTTCACTCCTTCCTTCCTTCTTTCCTTTCTTCCTTTCCTCCTTCCTTCCTTCCTTTCCTTCCTTTTTTCCTTCTTTCACTCCTTCCTTCCTTCCTTCCTCCCTTCCTTTCTTTTTCTGGTATAAGTACTGGAGCTTGAACTCAGGGTTGGTCTGGATACTTTCACTTGGCTTTTTTACTCAAGGCTGGTGCTTTACCACTTGAGCTACACCTCTACTTCCAGCTGTAGGCTGGTTAATTAGAGATTCTAGGAGTCTTGTGGAATTTCCTGCTTTGACTGGCTTCAAGTCTCTAACCTTAGATTTCAGCCTCCTAAGAAGCTGAGATTACAGGTGTGAGCCACTAGTGCTCTGCAAGACTGGCTGCTTTTTAATTGACTTTTTAAAGTTTGAAATTTGTTGGTGTTAATAATATATTTTTTAAAATCAAGAACAAGCCTAGCCCATGTGGGTTTTTTTCTCTCCTTTGTCTCTGTTTTTGACTTCTGTACCTTTTGTCTCATATGTAAGTTTATCTGTTTGGAGGAGAGTAAGGGGAACACAGAAATAGAGGGACAAAGGGCGAACAAATGCAGCAGTGATACTCACTGGACACTGTTGAAAATGAGCTATACAACTTGTTGGGAAGGGGTCAGGGAGAAAACGAGGGAGAGGTGACACTGTTTAAAAAGAAATATACTCATTACTTGATTTAACTGTAATCATCTTTACAACAACAGTATAAAAGAAAAAAGAACAAGCTACAAGCTTGAGGTGACTCACACCTGAAATCCTAGTTACTCAGGAGGCTGAGATCTAAAGATCGCTGTTTGAGGCCAGCCGGGGCAGGAAACTTCTTGAGACTCTTCTCTCCAATGAAACACCAGAAAACTGGAAGTGGCAGTGTGGCTCAAAGCGGTAGAGCGCTAGCCTTGAACAAAAAGAAACTCAAGGACAGTGCCCAGGCTCAGAGTTCAAGTTCCAG